TCCGGGAGAGCGAACGGGCGAGGGAGGAACCATATTTCACATACTTTCTCTTTCAAAATGTAGCTCTGTTTCGCAATTTCCTACTTAAGTTCTGGAAGGGCTCTAGGGTAGGACCCGAGCCACCTTCTCTAGCCGAAGGCCTGGGTCTCATCCTCACTGCCAACCCGGCAGGCTCGAGGTGCCGGGGAAAGGGGCCACCAGAGTTTTGTAGCCCTGCCACAGTGCCCTTCGGTGGCCGCTCCCCTGGGGTCTACGCGATGCTGAAGGAGCCTCAAGCGAGCCTCCAGCCAAAACCTGTTTATTCTTCACCCTGTGTCGGTTCTTTCCCTCGGGAGAGCCAGGAGGCACACCACACCAAAGCAGGTGCACCCAGCTCTGGTATGCCCGGCCCCAGCAACCCTGGAGGCATCTCATCTTCAGATCTTCTCTACTCCCCTATAACGAGGCTTTTGTTCTGGCTTTTAGCAGCCAGACTGTACTCCAACCCCCTCGCAACGCATCTCTTTAATCCTCCAAAATGGAACCGCTGCTTTCTGGTTGTTTTCTCCTTCCTTTGCCACCTTTCACCGGGGTTTCCACCTCTTGTGCGTCTAAGTCTGGTCTGGACAAGAGCTGTAGGAAACAGGGTACAAGGGCCAGCACCTAAATGCCTGGGCCTAGGTCAAGGGCTTGCATCAAGGCCCAGGAAATTGACCCCTTTCCTAAATTCCCTCGCAGCCCTTCTAAACCAAACCAAACCAAATGAACCAGGGAGGGGGGAAAACCACTTAAAGAAAAAAATCCAGAAAACAATCCTGTCTCTCAAAATACTGACGTAGAGGGGCGCCTGGGTGGCTCAGTCGGCTGAGTGTCTGACTTCGGCTCAGGTCATGATCTCGTGGTTCGTGGCTTCGAGCCCCGCGTCGGGCTCTGTGCTGACAGCCAGACTGGAGCCTGTTTCAGATTCTGTGTTCCCCTCTCTCTCTGACCCTCCCCTGCTCACGCTGTCTTTCTCCCTCTCAGAGAAATAAAAAAAGTAAAAATACTGACGTGGAAAACAAATCCATTCTCTATAGAGACTTGGTCCGTAGCATACCAGCGCTGGCACTGGGAAAGGTGGCCAGAGAGGTATCCATCTGGGCAAATCTGCAACCCTGCAGAGGGAAAAAACTAACCTTTCCCAAATGACAATGTGGGCACATAATGGCCACATAAAACTCATGTGCCGTTTCTGCCTAAACCTAGAAGCAGGGTTTCTCAGGGTTTCTCAACAAGACCCCTCTTTCCAGTATCTGCTCACTCTGAAAATCGCCAGGTGTGACTCTGGGTCAATCCTTACCATCTACAGTCTCAGGTGGGCTCCTTCTGGGGACAGGTAACGGCCCCCCACCGTGAAACCCACACTCCACCACCAGCTCAAACACACACACACACACACACACACACACCAAACAAACACAAATTCTTAGTCTTTAAAGGATAGAGTGAGACAGGCAGGGGTAGGTCCAGATGGGGCTTACTTTGCAAGAAGTGGTCATATCTGGAAGCACCCAGGGTACCCGTATCAGGAGAATTCTCTCCCACCCGTAACTCTGCAGGTGTGGAACCTCAGGACCCGCTGAAGCCCACGTTATGGTCCTATCCTTACTGGCCTAGAGCTTCAGCAGCAGCCTAAGGAGTGAATGCAGAGAAGCTGAATGTCTCAGAGTAACACCAAGGTGACACAGGAGATACAGAAGGTTTCAGATCATCCCGTGTTGCTAAGGTGCTGATTTTTGCTTTGGTGTGGTTTTGGAGGAACGCTAAAGGAGACGGTTCTCCAACATTGAACATGCATGTGAATTACTCGGGGATCTAAGGCAGATTCAGAGTCCCCAGGCATGGGAGGGGCGTGAGATTCTGCCTTTTTAACGAGCTCCGAGGTTGCGGATTCATACGGCCACACTTTTGAGTATTGAGGACCCAGGGGAGCTGGGAGATTGTGACCCATCAGAGCTAGAGGCAGCCAAGACATGGAGGGGCGGAGAGTGAATGTCCAGAAGAGAGACGGGACAGAGAGAAACAATGGTATGCACAGCCAGAATCAGAGGCTGAGGTGGGAACAGAGAAAGATAGGGGGGCAAAAAAAGGGACAGAGGAGGACTGTCAGAGAAATAGGGAGGGGCAGGGGTGGAGGCAGAGAGACCAAAACTGGGAATGGAAGACCTATTGGGCAAAGATGGCAGAAATAGCACCAGGGTCAGGGGAAGGGGGCCGTGGGCAGCCAGACCACTAGGCTGCAGCCCAGGCTTCGAATCCTGGCCAGCAGTGAAGGGCCTCTCGGGTATGGGTGGGAAGACCCCCCACAGAGTGCCAGGGGCACACACCTGAGATCCCTCACCTTCCAAACCTCTAGCCTTCCCTCACCTGCACACACCCATCCTGGCTATTGAGCTGGCCCTCCGCCGGGAGCCTTCCACTACTGATTTCCCCTTTGCTCTCCTGTGGCTTCAGCCTCTTTCTCAACTGGTCACTTCCCAGCGGGTTTCAAACATTTTCAAGTCTTTCCCACCTTAAAAAAAAAAAAAAGAGAGAGAGAGAGAGAGAGACTCTCCACCGCCATCTCTCCTTCCAGCCCCTGTCCTGCTTCTCCCCTTTTCTGGGCTAAAGTTCCTGGAGGAACTGTCTCAACTGATTCTGCCCCCCCGGGACCCCTCCAAATGGCTCTCGCTGAGGTTACCGTCAGCACACACGTGGTAAGTCCGAGGGTCAATTTCCAGTCCTCGTTTACGTGGTCCCTGAGCACCTGAGGTCCTCATGATCTCCCTCCTGCTTGCTGGCTCCCTGGTCTCCTCTGCTTCGGCTCTGCTTCCTCTGCGACTGATTCCCCACTCTCTCCGATCGTTGTGCAGGGAGGGCCACACAGTGGAGTCCTCCAGCCGCTCTTCCCCCAGCCCCCTTTCCATTCCACCTCTTCCAAACCCACAGCCTCAGCTATCTTCTCCATGCCAGTTTGTGCTCCAGCTCAGACTTGCCCTGGACACGCTAGACCCGCATTTGTGTCCACACACCGTCTACTCGCCATGGCCACCAGGATGCTCAGAGGCACCCCACATCCACCACGGTCAAAGCCCTCTCCTTCCCAAATTGGTCTTCCTCACAGGCTCCCCATCTCCCCTGAGGGTGTTCGAGCCAGAAATGGGGACTTCGTCCTTGACACCTCCTCTCCCTTTCTTCTCTCTTCCACATCCAATTTGCCACCAAACTCTGCCGACTTTATTCTCCAAATGCCTTTTGACTTTATCCACTTCTCTCCATTTCCACTCTAGTCCGTGTCTCCAGTACCTCTCACCTGGATGACAGCAACGGCCCCCTAAGCAGCTTTCTCCAATCCATCTTGTACACGACAGCCACCAGGATCTTTGCAAAATACAAATCTGGACACGTTGGCCTGCTGCTTAAAATCCTTCAGCGGCTTCCCCTGGCTCTAAGACTAAAGACCCAACTCCAGGAGATCCTTTCTGGGATCATCTCACCTCACCTGCCTTCCAGGCCGTCCAGCTACATTGGCTTTCTTTCAGTCCCTTGAACACCACGCTCCTTTCTGCCACAGGACATTTGCATGTACAATGCCCCCTATACATACTCTGCTGTCCAACCCAGTAGCCACTAGCTGCACTTTATCTTAGGGAGCACTTGAAACGTGGCTGGTACAACTGAAGAACTGAATTGTTACTGTTACCCCATTTTAATAATTCAACTGAAAATTTAAAATATATTCGATTCGATAGGTGGAAACCTGGTAACTATTCCTGAAACAAGGATTCAGTATATCAACCTACTTTTCAATTTTTATGAAATCCAAATGAAAATCAAGTATTTCCGGTGAAAATCTAGTGTCCAAATTAAGATATGCTGTGACGTGTAAACAGACACAGAACGGTGAAGACTTAGTTTGAAAAGAAAATGTAAAGGATGTTGTTAATAATTTTTATACTGACTACATGTTAAAAAGATAACATGTTAGCACATATTTGGTTAAATAAAAGATATCATTAAAATTAACTTCACCTGTTTCTTTTTACATGTTAAACGTGGCTACTAGAAAAATTTTAAGTTACACAAGTGGCTCCTATGGTATTTCTATGGTACAGCGCTGGTCTAGAATGCCATTCCTCCTCTCCGTCCTAACTCCTACGCATCCTTCAGAGCTTGGCTCAAATACCACCCTTCCCTAAGATAAAGTCGTATTTTGATTCACCTTAATTCACTTTCATAGCCATGTGCACATGCCAGCAGTTGCCCGGCCTCAACTCCACCCATGTGTAATTACACATTTATTGGAAAGATCCCTTGATTCATGCCCGTCACCCCTACCAACCTCTACTTCCGTGAGAGCAAGGTCGATCCCTGGCCCTCCCTGAAACCAAACACTTAGTCTGGGGCCTGGGGCCCCTAAGGCTGCCAGTGGGCACTGCGGGGTGCCACAAGAGGCCATTCTATCCACTGTTCTGTCTAGGGGATCCAAGCGTTGCCAACCACCCCAGAGGGCCTGAGCACCCCTTTCCCCTAGGGTGCCACTAGCCCCCCAGGATTCAGATTCTACCTCTCCCAGATGAAAGTCTTTCTTTGTGGCTGACCCGAACCCCTCCTGCTGCAAGCTGGCCAGGACCTCAGTTCCATCCGTAGAGGTAATCAGAGCAGCACTCCTTAAACTTAAACGTGGCCAGGCGCCTGACACCTTGTTATGACGCAGACTCTGGTTCGTCAGGGCTGGGACGCGACCTGAGACTCCCACTTCTAGGGGGTGCCCAGTGACAACGTTGATGCTGGTCCGTAGACCACACTCTGAATAATAAGGATGCAGAGAAGCCGGTCATCACCCTCAGAGTATCCCCCAAGTTTTCTTCCTGCTCTGGACTCCCTGTCCAGAAGGCCATTTAGGGGATCTCTTCCAATTCAGCCCTGTTCCTTCCTGCTCCCGTGAACTCCCACCAATCCCTGGCCCCTGAAAAGGAACGTGGTGCCTGTGGCTACTGTTGTCATTTGGTTTTGTTTTTAATTTGAAATAAACTTTTAAGCAGTTTTCAGAGTTGGGGCAGCCCTGATACGGACCAGGGGTGTGTAACAATACTCTCCAATGATAAAGTCACACGGCTGGAGGCGCTGGACTGTCCTCGAGCTCTGATTCCTGTCTGCCACCCTGGACTGGTCCCATCAGCAACTCCAGAAAGCTCTGCTGTGTGTGGGCTCGGACGCTGGGAAATGTTCGCTCCGACATGTCCCTTGGGAGCATCGCAAACCAAGTCTGTGCCGCCTGACCCCTCCACCTCCCCACCCTGTTCACACGGTGACGACCAGGACATAGAAGTGTCATCCGGTGGCTCGACTGTGTGTATGTGCGCGCGCGCATGTATGTTGGTTGCATGTTGGGACGTGGGCCCTCGTGTGTGTGTCTGTGTGTCCGTATACGCATGGACAGTGTGTGCACGCTTTGCCCCCAGCACTCCAGTTCGGTAAAGCTTCCGTCACACAGAGCAGCGCTGGGCTCTTTCTGCACGGGCCTGGAGGCTGAAGAACATCCCTAGGTCCCTAGGTGAGCCCCGCAGGCGTGACCGGCCCCACTGTCCCCTGGTGCTGCGGCTGTTGCTGGCCCTTGCGTCTCCGAAAGCCGGCGCCCGCCTCCTTGCTCTCCTTCCTGTTCAGGTTCCTGTTGGCGTTCTCCCGCCGGCCCTGGCCGCCTTTCCGCCTCTTCTGTCCTGCAACCCCAACGGCGCAAGAGTCAACAAAGGATGGCCCGCGGCAAGCCAGGAGGCCCTGGGCATGGCCCAGGGCTCTCGGAGGGGGGTGGTGAGAAAGCTGGGCTGGGGACCCCTCAAGGCTTCCTCTGGCTGGCGGCTCCTTCAGGGGACCCTGCAACCTGGGCACAGAGACGGGGGTCCCGGGAGCCCTTCGCCCTCCATCCCTCAATGAACCAGACACCCTCCTCATCCCTGTGTCCCTCTCCGACCTTGGGCCCCAGTGAGCCAAGATGTTTGGTGCAGCTCTGAGGATAAGTAGCACAGCCCCCTATCTTCCCCGCCTCCAGGCAGCTGCCACATCATTGCCAAAGACACAGGCTGTGTGACCTTGGTCACATCACTGCACCTCTCTGGGTCTTAGCATCCCCTTCTGTGACCCCATCTGATCTCCCAGGGTTCTTCCAGCGCCAACCTCTGCTGGCTCCCAGGAAATGGGGAAACAGGAGGGATGTGGACACCGAAGCTTCCAGCTCCCACCACACGGGGTCCTGGGGGCTGCTCTCTGCGGAGACCCGGCACAGCGTGGCACCTGGACTTGGGGGTTCCCATCTGGCCCTGGGTGACAGGCAGGCGGCAGGAGTGGCCGGACCTCCCTGGAGGCCCCTGACTCCAGCCCTGGGGAGGCCGGGGCTGCAGCTTACCCTCAGGGCAGGGCGTCCTCCTCACTGTGCACCTGCGGGTCTCTTTGGTGTCCGAGCAGACAGCGTGGTCTCCCCCGGGGGCATGGAGCACCCTCCGCGTCCGCTCCTCGGAGCCCCTCCGGAAGCCACAGAGCTTCTTCTTCTTGGAGCACGGCCCCCACAGGGACCACTCGCTCATTTCACATTGTGCTGGCGGGAAGGGAGAGAAGAGGGAGAGAAAGAGGAGGGAGGGGTCACATCTCCTCCCCTGACCCAGAATACTCCCTGGGGGGGTCCCTCCCGCCTGCTCTGTGCCTGAGCCTCAGGCTGGAGGCATCTTCAGTCCAGAAGGGCAGAAAAGCCCACGGGGGAGGGGGCGTGGGGGGGCCCCCGGGGTCCCACAGCGCTCCGGGCACACTCACCAGCACTGCTGCACTCCATGGTGCCGTTGGCAGCCGCCGAGCCGTCGGGACAGGCCGGGTAGCAGCGGCCCTTGTGCAAGTATAGGCTCTCCTTACACTTGGTGCAGAAGTTGTGGCTGAAGCAGGCCTCACAGTGCTCGATCTTGCACTCTGAGGAGAGGGCCAGATGGGGGCCCTCTGACTCATCTCCCATCCCCATTGCCCCCCCCTCCGAAGGCAGACCCCCCCCCCAACCTCCCCAAGGGCAGGACGCTGGCCTGGAGAAGAGTGTGGGGAGGGAGGGAAGGCCAGGACCGGCTGGGGAGAGGAGGCCAAAGGGGCCACCCTTCAGGGCTGCCTGGGCCAGTCGGCTAACCCCACCGCAAACCCCATACCGGCCCGGGAACCAAGGTGAAGCCCAAGGGAGCCGCTTTCAGAGGGGAAGGCAGGACAGCCTCTGGGATCAGTGGGGATGAGAGAGAAGCGGCTACCCAGTCAGAGTCGAACTGAGGGGTACGATGGTTTCCTTTCTCCATCACTGGGCACCCGCACACCCCACGCTCTGGCTCCCCTCCTGCCCTGTGAAAAGAGTCTGTTTGCGGTTGGTGAGGGGGGACATCCCGGGGCAAATTCCTCTCTCGCTGTAAGACCTAGTTCCAGGAACCACCTGGGCCAGACTCCTGGGTCCCTCCCCATCCCCTGCGCCAGCCCTCCCTCCTCTGGGGAAGTGATGGGGGGGTGGGTTACAGGGCCGGCTGGAAGCAGGCAGGGCCTTTCACAATCTCTCCCTTCCCAGACCCTGGGCACGGCTAACTTCCTCCCCGTCTCTGGCACCTGACTGGGGCTGCCAGTTTCCCAGGAGCTGGCGCAGCCGGGAACTCCTACCCCAAATGCCCTGAGGACCAAGAGGGCAGCCCCAGGGCCCCACCTCCAGCCTCACAAGCTCCCCACCCCACTCCACCCCTCCTCTGTGCCTCCTGGGCTCTGTGGCTTTATCTCTGTTTCTCCCCCTTCGCCTCCCTCCTCTCTTGCTCTGATTCCCAGCTTTGGTCGCGGGTGACATACAGTAAGGACAATAGCAGGTGCCACTTACTGAGTGCCAGACATCTCGGGCTTTCCATACGCCTCTGACAACAACCCAAAGGGGTGAAAACTACCACTCTCATTTTAAAGATGAGGATTTGAGAGGCTGCAACACGCCCAACGTTATACTACCAATAAGAAGCAGAGTTGAGATTAGAACCCAGGGCCCATCTCCCTCCAAAGGCTGTTGTGAAGCTCAACTGATACGAGATCTGGAAATGCATTCTAAACTCCAAGGCACTGACCAAACGGGAGGCGCACCGGCACTATTCACGGGGGTGTGTGCCGAGCCTGTCCCCCAGGGTGCCACCGTGAGCCTGAACAGAGGTGGAACAGCGCGTGCCGCAGAGACCGAACAGAGCCCAGCCCAGAGAGAAGGCCTAGGGGGGTGCGGGGGGGTTGCTGACAGGGGCTTGAATTTCTCTGCGTCAGTGGAGCCAGGGGAGGTTTTCAAGCAGAAGCGTCGTGGGAAAGGACATGTGTCTCGCAAGCAGCTTTCTGGCTGCAGTGTGGACGGAGGGTGGAAGGCAATGGAGGAGGCTCGGAGGACAGATGAACAGGCTACTGAGATTGTCCAGGAGAGAGGTGCCGGGAGCCTGGGTGAGAGCACGGCAGTGAGGACCGGGAGGAAGGCAGCGGGCCCGGTTTGGTTACGGGATGTAGGGCAGGGGCCACAAGGAGAGGCGTGCTCTCGGGTCGATGGCAGCGTGAGTGGCTCAGGACCCTGCGGGAGTGCAGGTGGGCACACGTTTGGAGGGAGGAGATGGGGTTCCAATGCGACACGCTGCGCTGGGGACGTGGAGGGCCTCTCTGAGGAGTCTGGCTGGCAGTGGATACTTGAGCCAGGAGCCTCATCCCCCACCCACACACACACCTCGGGGTCCCCTCTACTTCTGCCGGCCGCTGACAGTTGGAGGCACCCTCCCCCAGGGTCCAGAGCCTTCTCCGCCCCCCGCACACTCACTGATGCACTTGTTCATGTCGGGATTGCGGGCGTCGAAGTAGCCAGGTGGGCAGGAAGGCAAGCAGACGCCCACCTGGCGGATGTCGTTCCGCTCCAGCAGGATGAACAGCTTGGGCGAGCACTTGAGGCAGCCGTTGACCTCCGAGCAGAGCTCACAACCTTTGGCGCAGGCCTGGCTCCCCTCAGCGCTGACTGCAAGCGGGGGAGAGGGGGAGAGGGGTAAGGAGGCGGCCGTAGGAGAGACGGCCATCTTTCCCGGGGCCCCCACAAGGTTGGGAAGTGGAGAGATTGGAGTCTCTTCCCACGCCGTGGATGTGCTTCTCAGGAAGCCCATGTCGGGACTTCAGGATTTAAGGCTGCTTTCCGGGGGCACCACGGTCAGGCGTCCGGCTTCGGCTCAGGTCATCATCTCAAGGGTTGTGGGTTCGAGCCCCGCGTCGGGCTCTGTGCTGACAGCTCAGAGCTTCAGATTCTGTGTCTCCCCCTCTCTCTGCCCCTCCCCTGCTCACACTCTGCCTCTCTGTTTCTCAAAAATAAATACACATTAAAAGAATTTTTTGAAACACCGCTTCATAAACCTCCCCACCATCATCTCTCAAGGGAACTAGCACGGATGCTCTAAGTGTGTCCTTAGCTCCAGGCACATCCCAGGCTCACTTTGCCGGCTGGCTCTACCCTTCTGGGAGAAACTGCTGAAGCAGTACACTCCCACAACCTACCCCTGCCCTCTCCAGAGGAAGAAGAGCTCAGCCTCAGGTACGGAAAGTGGGTGTTTTTTAGCCTTGAGAAGGGTTTAAGGTCAAGAAGGACAATGGGTGAAAGTATCTGAGAAAATGATCATCTGCTCAGAGACAGGGAGACTGGAGTAACTATGTCCAGAACAGTGGCCTCAACCAGAGACGATTTTGCTCCCCAGGGGGTATGTGGCACCGTCTAGGGACCTCTCTGATTCTCACAGCAGGAAGAGGTGTTGTTACTGGTATGGAGAGAGGCCAGGGACGCCACGAAACATCCTGTGATGTGTGGAGTGCCCCCCCCCCCCCCCCCCCCCCCCCCCCCTCTGGTTCAAAATGTCAGTGACGCTAAGGCTGAGNCGTCTAGGGACCTCTCTGATTCTCACAGCAGGAAGAGGTGTTGTTACTGGTATGGAGAGAGGCCAGGGACGCCACGAAACATCCTGTGATGTGTGGGGGGGCCCCCCCCCCCCCCCCGCCATAAGCTGTCTGGTTCAAAATGTCAGTGACGCTAAGGCTGAGAAACCCTGGCCATCCTTTGAGGGGGTGTGACCTCCAGCCCCCGTATGGGGGTCTCAAACCTTTGATGTCACTCCCTCATGGACGTGTTTAACCAACCCTCCTCGAGCCCCTCCCCAGGTACCCTGTGCAGTGTGAGCGCCAGGGACACGGATCCAAGGTTGCCTGACATCCATCCAAATGGATCTTTCAGTGGTGCCGACAGGCAAATGCTGACGGCCACAAGCCCTGGCAATAGTGGACCCAAAAAGAAGAGAGAGAAGGAGTCACAAAGGAGGTGCCATTTGGGCCAACCCTTGAAGAATCAGCAGCAATTTGTCCGTTAGGAAGTAGAGGTGTAAAACAGCCCGCGGGGAAGTGCAGATAATTTGGGGTGCAGGAGGGGTAGGGAGGGGGACGGTGAAAGATAAGAGCTTTTCATATGCTGCTCAGGAATTTGAACTTGCCCCTGCCAAGCAGTGTTTCCCAAGGAGCATTCCTTGGACCCTGCTCTCGCTTAGATGTTCATCAGAGGCTGTGGAGAAAAGGCCACTGTGTCAGGTAAGATGCAGAACCACTCGGACCCACGGTCTAAACAGGATGCTTTACTGTAGGGCTCCTTCAACCCTCTTCAACCCTAAGAGGGGGACAAAGGAAGTTTTATTTCCCAAATGTTTCGGCCACAGGACCCTTGTTTGGCAGAGCTTTCCTCGGGACCTGTCTCAGAACTGATTAGACAGTAGGAAGCTAAAGGCAAGGTGCAGGACCCAGGCTGATTCACACGTTGGAAGGTTCCTCCGGCAGCCTGGGTGGAGACCAGAGACTGAAGGAAGTCTTCCGTTTGGAAGGAAGTGGACCAGATCACCCAGGTGAGAAAGATGAGAACGTCTTAAACAAAATCTGCTCAGTTGGAGACAAACAGAAACAGACTGGAGAGAAGCTTAGGGACTATAACCAGTAAGCAGAGGCGACCACTTGGAGGGAGGAGTCTGGGGTGGGGGCTAAGGCAGGTGGCAGAACAGTGTGGCTGGTCACGAAAGGAGGCTCACCCCATGGGAAGACAAGCAGGTGGAGGAGGGAACAGGGAGAGTGGTTACGAGCCACTTAGGAACAAGCACGCAGCGAGGGGCTGGACACATGGGCTGCAGACAGAGAGCCCGGGGGTCAGAACAGATGGCAGGAGGTCATGCGGGGTAGTGGACCCCCAGCTCGGGCTTCAGAGTCCGCTAGACCCGGAGCCGAATCCCCAGCCTGTGACCTGGGGCAAAACACGGTGTCTCGCGTGCCTCCCTTGCCACCACTGGAAGGGGACCTGAGGGTGTCCACTCTGGAGGGCTGCTGGGAGGAGTGGGCCCTGATTTCAGGACAGGAGGATGAGTTAGAGTTAAGAAGGCGAGCAGAAGAAGCGAAAGGACGATGACAAACACAGCCATACAACAACACCGTAACCACAGGAACGGCTGCACAACTACCAAAGGTCCGGAACTCATTCTGTCCTCAGAGGTCATCAAGTATTCACTCACTTAACTCGTACAACCCATGAAGCAGGTGCTGTCATTATTTTATAATCCTCATTTTTTCAGAGGAGGACATGGAGGAGCTACCCGACCTGACCAAGGATTCGCAGCCAGCACGTGCTCCGGGCAGAGGGAATGAAGTTTAGGAAGGCCAAGGGCAGGACCACTCCGGGTGATGTGAGGACTGGGAGTATGGGTACACCAACTGTCTTTTTTTTTTTTTTTATATAGAATTTAGTTGTATGGAATCAATACTAATCAATACACTTAAAACTTAATATTGATCTTGGTTTAGTTCTTCTAAGAGCAAAAATTCTCACATGTTGCATCGGTGTTATGAGGGAGCCCTCGGGATTACTTTTCCACTTCAGGTCTTTATTCGGCTGTGTTCAGTACTGCTTCTACCTCAAAGATATTACATCTTATGTTATTCAAGATTCTAACCAAATACGTTGTTGAAACGAATGTTCTCTCTATTCTTGCCTGGGTGTTTTTTTTTTTTCTAATTTTTAAATGTTATTTATTTTGAGAGAAAGAGAGAGAGAGAGTGAGCAGGGGAAGGTCAGAGAGAGAGGGAGATACAGAATCTGAAGCAGGCTTCAGGCTCTGAGCTGGCAGTCAGCAAAGAGCCCAATGTGGGGCTCGAACCCACGAACCGCGAGATCATGACCTGAGCTGAAATCAGATGCTCAACTGACTGAACTACGCAGATGCCCCATCTTGCCTGGGTTTCAGTAATTGACCTGATCCAGGTGTCCCATTTGCTGGCCACCATAGCTATGTTCCCACGCTCATTCATTCCGTCCTTGTCACTTTTGTTAAAGACAGATTTGCAAAAGGCCCCTCAGAATACTGAGCTCCACCTCGCACTCAACCAACAACAAATCTCCGCGTGCCTTTCTCTTCGGATCCCTCAATGACACAGCCGGTGAAAGCGGGGAGCACTTGGGGTCTGAAATCCGCATGGGGGGGCAGGGATCACGGAAGGAGGACTAAGACCGGAGAGGGAAGCAGGCCCAGATGAGGAAGGGTCTTAAACCTGTACAAGGAGCTTGGACATTGCGCTACAGGCAGTGGGGAATTAGCGGGGGCTTTAAAATGGGAGCCGTGGTCGGGATTGCTGTGTGGTATGGACAATGGGTGGAGGGGACGGCAAGTCCGGAGACAGGAAGGCCCCTCGGCTCCAGGAGACGGAGCCGAGCCGAGAGGATGCGAAGGAGCAGGTAAGACACTCCGGTGGGAGAGGCGAGACCAGGTGACGGGCTGGACGTGGGCCCGGAGGCCGGGGAAGGCACAAGCCGAGGGCGGCCCCCTGGTGTTGAGCTGGCGTGACAGCGTGGCTGTCGGCCCTTCACGGAGAGAGCGCCCGCAGGAGGAGGGGCGGGTTTGGGTGGGGGAGATGACGCGCCGTGGGGTTTGGATGTGTCGAGGCCGTGGTTCCCGTGGGGCATCCAGGGGAGGGTGTCTGCGAGGGAGGTGAGCCTGGAGCCCTGGAGCCCCAGGGAAACACGTTGGCTGAAGACAGCGATGTACGGTCCTTGGCACGAAAAGAGTCCCGAAGACATGGGGGCCCGCGAGGCGGCGAGGACAGTGGGCGTCGGGGGTGAGAGGAGGAGCTGGGAAGTTAAGGGAAGGACAGAAGAAAGGAAGGCAGCCAGGAGGCTGTGAAGGGGCAACCGGACAGGTGGGGGCCGCTCCGAAGCCCGGTGCGCGGAAGCCCAGAGCAGAGCGCCCTGGGCAGGACCCGCGCTGCCCAGGTGTCAGATAAGGAGGCGGCAACGGACAGGGCTTGGCACCCCCACTGGGGGCAAGGGCAGAAGGCAGCGGTGGAGGAGCAGAGGAAGGAGAGCCATCTCCTTCCAGAAACCAGCTGTGGAGCGGGGAAGGGAACCCAGGGATCCGTCCGTGGAAGCCGTGGTCACCGGTGGTTCAATCATGGAAGTAGAGGCATTGCCAGCAGAGGCTGAGCGGCTGGGCCACGCTCGCTCCACAGGCCAGCAGAGGAGGGGCTCGGAGGGAAGCATGGAGGGAATCCTGGGGGAGGAGAGCAGGCTGAGGGAGTGGACATGGGAACCAAGCTGAGAGGGGAGAGGTGTGCAGGGGTGCCTGAGAAGAGACCGCGGCCGTGAACTGGCGATGGGAGGTGACTGACTGGTCAATCCCGAGGGGAGCAATTCTGGCGGAGTGGGGGATGGGAAGTGAGTGGAAGGGGCGAGGTGGGGGTAAAGGGAGGGGAGACCAGCTGGGGTCAGGGGCCATGATCAAGATACTCCGAGACTCCGAGGCTGAGTGAATTGATGGAGTGAAGACCGGAGGATACAGGAGAGTCACTCAGGCGGTAGGATGGCCTGGGGCGCGAGGCTGGGGTCAGGGACACGGACAGAGGGAGCTGAGCGCCGTGAAGTTTTGGGGCTCAGGAAGGAGGAGGAGGGATTATCAAAGAGGAGAGGGGTTCAGTGATGGGCAGGGATCAGTTCAATGAGGAAAGGGATGCTGGTCAAGAGGGTAGGAACCCAAAGGTGTTCTCGGCTTAGCGAGAAAATGCATGGGCAGTGGGGGTGATGGACAGCCATCAGGAGGTGGGTCTGTGTAGGGGAGAGGGGGTCCAAGGAAGATGGTGGCTGTTTGGGCGGGGCATAATGATTCAAAGGGAAAAACCGAGGCTCATTCATTCCATAGATATTTATGGCACACCTAACACGTGCCCAGAAGTGCTCGGAGCTGGGGACCCAGTGATGTAAACAAAGGCCCACCCAGGGATGCGGCAAGCAGGGCTGGCTAGCACTGTGTAAGCGCATGAGTAATGGAAGGCACTCCCTTACCCAGCCGGCTAGGTGAAGAGGGTGTGCCAGACAGGAGCAACAGCCTGTGCAAAGGCTCTGAGGCACCGAACATCATAGTGCATTCACAGAATGGAAAATAGGGCTTTTTCCTATTGGCAGGGAAGGGGACCTCAGAAGGGCAGGGTCAGATTCACCATATGAAAGGATCCTTTGCCTAAGATGGAGGGAAGAGTGAAGGGGAGACAGCCTTGTAGGGCCTGTAGGTAGCCTGTCGCCTCGCTGAGGAGGCTGGGTGGGCTGGGTGAAATGGAGGGCACTCAGAGAGGGGATGGAGCCTGCTTCCCAACCTCTTCACAAACCCCCTCCCATGGCTCTGCCCGCCCTCCCCCCAAGTCCTCAGTGAAGCCCACGTCCCCAAGCCAGGAAGGCAAGGCTGTGCCCTCCTCACCATTCCCCTGCTGCTTGTTTGGCTCCTTCATCCTTGTGCAAAAACCCTACAAACTGATATTCCTCAACTGAAAACATCCCTGCCCCAAATCCATCAATGGCTCCCTATTGCCGGCAGAATTAAGACCCATCTGGTCTTATCAATTTTTCCACCTGGACTAAAAAGCTTCTATGAGCTGATCCTACCCACCTCATTTCTCAACATTACCCCTCAGCAATAGACAACTATTGTTGTTTGTCTGGACATACCACACTATTTCACACCTCTGTGCCTTTGCTCAGTTGGTCCTTCTGCCTGGAACGTTCTCTTCTACTTCCTCAGTCTGACTAACTGCTTGAAGCCACAGAACTAAGTTCACCTCCTCCAGGAAGTCTCCCCTGATCTCACTTCCCCCACAGAGTCTGGATGGGGTCGGATGGGGGAGTCAGCGTTCAGTGAAGGAATGGGGGCTTCATGGGGGCAGAGCTGAGTAAGGGGCCCAGGAGTCAGTTAGGAAAAGGGTCTCTGTAAGTGGAAGGAGACCTCAATGCCAGGAGTAGTGAGAAAATGAGGGCACGGTGAGGGGCACAAAATCCAAGTGGGAAGGCATTCAGGAGAGGGTGAGAAGACAAGAGGCTGAGTGAGTGAAGAGGGAGTTCGGGATGGGGGAGGTGGGTCCTCAGTGAATGAGAGAGGCAGAAGCCGCCTTGCCAGGGTTCATAACTCACAGCTCAAGGGTGCTTTGCTCAGTTTCTCCCCTCCATGCAGGGGGACCGTCACACAGGCCATTTCTGTACTCAACTGGTATGTGCCTCCGGATCAGAGCTGTAGTGGGTGGTTTCTGACAGCCCTCCAGACACGGTTACAGATGACGGCAGAGTCCACAGACCAGAGGCTCACAGCACAGCAAGCCAGCCCCTGCACGCCGGGCTGCCCGCTGCCCTCCCGGTGGTTAGGGGGCCAGAGTAGCCACACGCCGCATCTTTGTTCTCTTTCTCCCCCCTCACAGCCCCGAGAACCCTAGAGCAGCATGGCCCACACGGTGTTTACCTAACACTGACATGTGTCCCCAAGTCTATACAGAGCTTGGTGCTTTACAAAGAGTTCACAACACACGTACATGTATAAATAAAGCCTCCCATGTAGGCTTTACTATATTCCCTGACAATTACACTTGCAGCTTTATGGTTTCTATTCGACAAGTATTGCCCAGCAACATCTGCCCTCTTCCCTCTCTAAACCCTTCGTTTTGGACCATCACTGCACCCGAGTCTTTCCCCGCGTCTCCCCCCTCCTCCCCCCACCCTCCCATCTCACTGTCAGGCGTGTCTGCTACTCACACCACCTGGTAATAAAAACAGGGTTACATACTGTCGAGGCTATGGCTGTGGCTGTATCAAAAGCAGACCCGTCAAGGGGCGCCTGGGTGGCTCAGTCAGTGGAGCATCCGACTTCGGCTCAGGTCATGATCTCATAGTTCGTGAGTTCGAGCCCCGTGTCGGGCTCGGTGCTGACAGCTCAGAGCCCGGAGCCTACTTCAGATTCTGTGTCTCCCTCTCTCTGCCCCTCCCCTGCTCATGCTCTGTCTCTCTCTGTCTCTCTCTCTCCCTCTTAAAAAAAAAAATTAAATAAAAAAAGTAGGCCCATCAAAATTGCTGCATTTGATTGCCCTTTGCAGGGACCGGGCCCTTTCTGCAGGCTCAGGCCGGTGCTTTATTTGTTTTTTTCAGTACAACAGCCTTGAACCCAGCTCTTCGACTCCTGGCTTAGGGAGGGCGGGGGGATATGTGGCTCTGCTTGTGGGCAGAAGCGTGACTGCTAGTGTGCGTCGTCGCACGAGCACGAGTGGTCCCTCCCGTTAGCGCGCTCTCTCTCTCTCTCTCTCTCCCATCTTGGAAACAGTGGAGACTGGTCATGAACCGCTAAACCGCATCTGGCCTGTGGAGCCCAAAACACTGGCCACAACAGAGAGGAAGGGAGGCAAATCAAGGCCTCACTCCTGATTGAACCTAACCGTCTCTAATTGTTTGTTAAGCCCAGGATTTTCAGCTTCACCAGTTCTCTGAGCGCCTCTCCCTGGGCTGGGCTCTGGCCTTGGCCGTTCCGCGGAGACCCACCAAAACCCCACCGCCTTTCCACCTCTGCCGGTGGGCCCCTGTCTGGTTGGGCTACACCTCCGTGGAGCCTCCGGCCTGTGGGTGTGACATCTGTCACGGGGGACAGGCCTTGGGGCCTGTAACATCGGCCTCCTCCTTACCCTCGGCAGGGCCCCACACACGCAGTGGCCACTCCCAGTACATACTGGGCAGGTAGAGATCTCCCATTGCTGGATGAGGCCCCAGGGCTCTCAGGGCTGCCCAGGGTGCCATCCAGTGGGGACAGGTAATCGTGATTTCCATCAAGCTCTTTTTCAGAAGACGGGGCTCACGGGATTTATGTTCCTATATTGACTGTGTGTCTTAGGCCTATTATCTCTTTTCTCGTCTTAGCCTCAGTGTCCCCATTTGTACAATAAGAGACTTTAGTTTTGGTTTTAAGCTGTGAGAACCCTTCCTTCCAGCGACACCTCACGTGGAATCTTGTCGAATTCAGGGAGGAGTGAGGCACTCTGGTTTGGACGGGCAGTGGGTCAGACTCCTTCCCCCTGCGTCCCCTTCAGCCCCCAGTGCAGCTCCCTGGGTCCCACTGGGCAGAGTTAAAAACCACAGGAGTGGACAGTCTCACGAGCCTCCCTGCTCCTCCATCTCTGCCCTGTGATCTGGGCAGGGAGAGCCATCGCCCAAGCTGAGTAGGGCTCCTGGCCCCAAAGGGTTGAGGGCTGCCCTTCAGCCAAGACTCAAAGAAAAGAGCCCTGAACTCCTGTGGGTGAGGAGGGGACCACGAACCACCCCCCCACCCCCGCCCAGCCACAGTGGCAGGGGACACATCTCCATGGATACCACACAAAGCTGGTGTTATGTCAAAGGGGCATAATCCACAAACGGGATCCTCACAAGCGAGAGGTTAATCTAGAAAGCAGGGTCTACAAAGGGAAAAACAGACAAGGTGGGTAATCTACAGAGTGGGTAATCTCGACCAATTAATCCACAAACCGGATAAACCACAAGCGGGATAATCTACCGAGGAACATACAACGTTGTAACGGACAAGTAGAATCCGCAATGGTCATCAGAGAATGAAACCACCGATGGCCCGCTGGTCCCCCGGCGGCCCCCGCCCGCTCCCAAGGCCAGCGGTGGTCCGGCCCCCCGCTCCGCTCCGTTACTCACTCCGCCTCTGCCTCTTCCCCTTGATCCCCCGGCTGCCGGCAGCAAGATGCATCCAGCTCAGAACGAGGGCCACCACACACAGCCCAAGCCGCATAGTCACTCGCCAGCTCCAGGCCCCTGATAGGAGGGGTGGTCTCTGGGGGGGAGGGGCGGTGGACAGTGCGGGGCTCTTGCTAACGCCTGTGGGGCTGGGTCGGCAGCAGGAGGCCCAGGCCTGGGCCGTATCTCAAATCCACCATAATCTCAGCTGGGGACAGAGAGGGTGTGGGGAGCCCCCTTCTTCATCAGCCCATAGGGAGGTCCAGAGAGCTTTCCTCAAAGGCGCCTTGGGGTGTCACATGGGAGAATTCTTTGTCACTTCAGCAGGGACACCTCCAAAAACCAACCTGTTAGGGGAGGAGAAAGAAAGGTTAATTCTGGGGAACCACGCAGTCCCCCACCCTCCCCGCAACTGGTACCTCCTACCTTCCCAGGGGGGTTCCTAGCCAGGAGACTGTGAGAACTCAGAGTGGTTGAATATTGCAAGTCACCCACCTGGCACCCCTGTAGAGGAAATCTGCTCCTTCTCCTAGGAGGTGTGCAGAACCCCCTAACCTGGGACTGGAGCCGGCCACCCAAGCAGCCGGAATATGGTAGGCGCTCAAATCAAATCTGTGGGTCACTGGGAACCAGCCGGCCCCACCCCTGCCCAATGTTGGCTGGGCTCTGACTGGAAGTCCCTCTTTAGGTCTACCCTACAGACCTCATGCTGCAGCGATAGCCTGTCCCTTGAAGAGGAGCTCTCTCTGTCCTTCTGTAAGTGGCCCCTCGGCCCTCCCTCCCCAGTGCTGAGTCACCCCTGTGCCTTTCACCTGTGGAGCTAGAGCCCTGGCCCCCCGACAGGCTGGCAGACTCCGCCTGGCCCTCTGGGCTTGGCGGGAGAAAAGGAAGTAAGGCTTCCCCCAGCCACAGAAACTCTGACACAGCAGGCCCTGCGGGCCTGGCCTTTGTCAGAGGATAAAAGAGGCAGCTATGCCCGCCCTGGCCAGAGACACAGAGAATGGGGATAATCCCCCGGCCCAGGCCCAGCGAGAGCCAGGTCTCTGGACCCGCTGGCCGGGTGATGGGGGCAGGGGGAGCTGGGCCCTCCCCAGTGAAATGTGTCTGGAGCCCGACCTGGGAGTCCAGGGCCGAAAGCCCCGCTTCACACTCGGGATCCCACACTCCCACACGATCTCCCAGCCGAGGTCTGCCCCAGCGCTGACTGCACACTTTGGGGCAAGCCACCCACACGCCCCCAGGGACAGGAGGGAACAGCGAGCCTTCAGGAAGCTTTGGAGATGCCAGGGAAGCAATGCCCTCCTGTCTGCCGATCAGCTGCCTTTGGACGAGTCCCTTAGCCTCTCTGAACCTCAGTTTCCTCATCTATAAAGTGGGGATAAAGATGCCTATTTCACAGGCTCGCTCGGAGAATTGGCTGAGTTTTGGCTTACTAATGAGAAATCTGAAATGCTGGAGTGGCAGTGCCCCGCCCACCACCCCGTCCCAATCCCTTTCCCCTTGGCCTCTGGGGAGGCCCCAGGGAGCCCACCTGCATGGGAGATAAATCATTATCCCACGAGGGAGTTCAGCACCTCCCTCCTCGGCCCCTCCCGCCCGGCTTTGAAGGCCAGTCACACTCAAGTGGTTAAGCTGCCCGGAGAAGTGTTTACACGAGCCTGACGGGTCCCACCTGGCGCGGCGGCCGGAGCCAGCGGAGACGCCCCCAGCCACCCCCAAATGCCAGCCCCTACATGCCCCTCCAGTACTCCCTGCGGGACCTGCCAGAGCCTTCCATCCTCCCCAGCCCCCACCACACACTCCCATCACCTACAAATCACCGTCATCCGGCTGAATTTATGGAACTGGGGTCTTTAGCCAGAAGGTGGCCGTAGAGCATATGACGGTCACGGGCGGAAGTCAGAGCACTGGGCTTCGGGTATTGGCAACGCTATGTACTAGCGGTTACCTCAGGTGGAACTGGGCGGTCGCCTCAGTTTCCTTATCTGCAGCAGGGTGGTTGTTTTTATAGCTTAGACGAGTTAATGCACGCAGCTGCTCAGAGTGGTGCCTGGCACACTGTGAGATCTCACCCAAAGCTGTTGTGTTTTCTATGACCAGGAAGACGTGATTTGGGGTCCACATGCCAATGGCCGTCTAAAGAGCAAGGCAGGCGTTTCGTTTTGTTCTGGCCTCATCTGGATCCCGACCATGATGCTGAGCACTGTTACGCAATCTCCACATTTGGATCTTTATGGTCCGTTCCCTTGGCCCCAGCGCGACCACTCAGCATGGCGAGGGGAACATTTAATTGAGGCATGTGCGGGACTGAGGTCCGAGGACTCCTGGCAGGTATGTGCTCAGGGGGTGCCGTGAGTCCTTCCACTGGACAGACACTGGAGGCGAAGGCCACGGCAGATTAAACGAGCGCTAAATCCTGGGTCTCACTCTGTGAGCAGGATCAATGGGTCCCAGGAGCAGAAAAGGCCTCCTGGGCATCCCCCGTGCTAGGTGCCTGGCACATCGGGCTTGGTGCTCCCCAAATGTCAGCTCCCTTCCTCGCCCTTGCTCTACTTTCCTTCTATTCCCCTCAATCCTCCGCCCCCCGCCTCCCATCTTAGCGTTCAGCCTGGCTCTTGCCATGTTCACGCTGGCCTGGCCGGTGAGGCTCTTCCAGCCCGCTCCCACCTAAATCACTATGGAATCACAATCTCAGCTGGAAAATGGGCAGGACGATCCAGATCTGAATTTCACTGGAGCGACTGACACTGGCCTCACTCACCTGTCACTGGATGGGAAGAAGTTCAAGCACTTTACAAAGTATATGCATATAGAGTCAACCCTGAAAAGGAGCTAGGAGTTCCCTATACCAGCTGGAAGTGGAGGGAGTGAACTGGAGAGCAAATGGCCCACCTAAATGGAGAATATGCTATTCAACTCCGTTGACGGATTGTCAATAGGCAGAAATAATGGTTTCATATGGTCAGATCTTCTGGTTTTTTGAAACGAGAAGCTGAACATTCAGAATTGTATGCGAAATCCGATTTTAAAAGCTGGACAGGTCTTAGACTGAAAACACAGTAGAACCCAGCCCAGGGAGATCATAGGCCGGTGGACCCACCTCCCTCCAGCTAGTCCCTTTCCCTCCCAACCCCCAGCCCCCAAGTGCAGTGGGCGCACACACAGACTACCCTGGCTGCACAGAGCCAGTTACAGGAACCGCTCGCAGCAATCGAGGCCTGAGGCACCCTTGGGGGGAAAAGAAGGGCATATTGTCTCTGCCAGGGTCCTGTACCACCTGCTATGTGCTAGGCCCTCATTTACTGAGCACAACTCTAGGAAGGAAGTAGAATTATTCCCATTTTTCTGGCACCCACAGGTTAAGGGTCTCAGGGCTACAAACCTGGTCAGTGACCCGTGAGTGGGGTTTGTTACTCAGGACTGGGTGTCTGGAGGGCGAGGCAAGGGACAGGGAACTGACCCCGGAGGTGGGAACTGGTGGCAGAGGCAGCGATGGGGTGGGGGGTGGGGGGGGCGGGGAGAGACCAAGGAAAGCTGCGAGGCGCTGCTAGGTGGTCGCCAGGGGAGGACACAGGCTGCAGAGGGGAACACGGCTGGGGGTGGAGCTGAGGGCGGGGACTCAGTGCCCCCATAAGGTTGGAGTCACTTTCACCTTCTTGCCTGTAACACTATCAGGATAAATTGGTACTCCATCCGGGGCCGGATACAGACCCAAAAATGTAAACCATCCTGATAATTTCTCATTAACCCTCCCCGGGACCGGCTACGGGCGGAGAGTTTCGAGGCTGGCGGGCGGGGGCAGAAGCATTGCTGGGCGGGGGGCGGGACCGAGTACGTGCTTGCCCGACCTGTCGGGATTAGAGTGTCGGCCGGATCCAAACCAGGTGCTGGGGGCGCCCCCCCCCCAACACCGAGGGCATTGGGGAAAGGCTCCTCCACGTCCCTCCACCTACGCCCCACGCGGGCAAATTCTTCTTCCCTCCCCACTCTCCCGGAGAGGCCTAGCAGGTGCAGGGGGAGGGGAGCGGACCTCTGACGGTCCCCCCCCCAATCCAAGAGATCTCTCCAAGTTCAAAAGGCCAGTTTCTCAAGAAAGCCCCTGCCCCCAGGCGCCCGCACCTCGAATCCGTCGTTGCCCTCCTTTGAACCCAGGGCGAACACAGCCCCCACCTTTCCCCAACCAAGCAGTACCACGGTCCCTGAGCGCCCGGCCCGCGCGGGCCACTGAGTCGCGCCACCTCGCAGGGCACTGGGGGCGGCGGGGCTCGCCTCCTGCCACGTCGGACCCGGACCCGGGCTGCGGGACTGGGGTGGGGGGAACCAGGGCCCATGGGGCTCAGGGGAATCCGAGGCGATGACACCGGGTATCCAGAGCTTCTGGATTGGGGAGGAGGGGTGAACAGGGCGGATGGGCTTGGGGGAATCCAGAGCCATCAGCTTCGATCCGTTTCAGAGTCAGAGTCAGATGTGATCAGATTCAGAGTGAGGAGGATTCACCGGGGGCTGCGGGGTTGAGGGGAACCCCGGGCACCCAGCGGGAGGAGGCTGCGCATTGGCTTGAGGGATGACGGCGGTGGCGGACGAGGAGGAGAGGTTCCAGAAGGTGCCCTCTCCCGCCCTCTGACCCGACAGCAGTCACAAGTCCCCTTCCCTTCGCTGTCGCCCCCACCTCCGCACCCCCGCACTCGGCGCGGCGGAGCCCCGACGGGAGGGCCCGCGGCGCCCCCGGCCTCGGGAAAGGGAGCTAGGGAGAAGGACGAGGCAGTTCAGGGGGCACTCACCTCCGCGCTGCCAGCCGCGGCGGGGGCAGGCCCGGGAGGGGCGAGGGCGCGGCCGGCTCACCCGCCCGCCGCAGGACTGTCCTGGGCGCCCGGCTCGCCCGCGCTCCGCCCGCGCGTTCCCAAGTTGCTCAATCTGCGGGCGGCTCACGCCCTCCGGGGCCAGCGCCCCACCCGGCGCATCGGTCCTCTGGGGCGGCTCGGTCCGGCCCTCGCGCCCCGCGAAGCCCCGCTCTGGCGCTCCGCTCCCCGCTCTCCGCCCGGCGCTGGTGCTCTC